TTGGCACAGTGACGGGCTTCAGTGGCGTGACCCGTGATTTGGCGATTACCAGGGAACAGTGCACTTTCTGTTGATCGTTCACAATTCTGACATAGGAGCACTGTCCATACTCACTGATGCTGGCATTTGAGAAGCTATGTAGTTCGATGGACTTGGGTTTGCCGAAGTCATCGGGCTTATAGCAGCGAAGAATCTTCAGCTGGGCCAAAGTGTGCAACTCACCCCTCCACTTTTCCCACCTGGTTCTAAAGATGTCAGGTATAGGGTCATCCTAATCAGTTTGGTTCTTGCAGAGGTCTTGCAGAATTTGTTTGCCTGGCAACAAAAAAGGGGCTGCCAATCCCAAAGGGTCGTAGACTGAACTGACGGAAGCGAAAATCCTTCTTCTTGTTAAGGGCAGGTCCTTAAGTTCTACACGGAACTGGAGTTCGGCTGATTGGACGCACCACTGAACTCCTAGGGTTCTTTCGATGGGGAGAACATCCTTGGCAAGATCCAGCTCCTTTATACCACTTGCTCGCTGTTCCTTGGGAATGCTTTCAATCACATCCTTACTATTAGTTATGAATTTGTGGAGGTTGAATTTGCCTTTAGCAAGCAAGCACGTTGTACTCTTTATTAGGGATGAGGCTTGAGTGGCTGATGGGACTGACTTGAGTCCATCGTCAACGTAGAAGTCATCCCTCACGAATTCTGCTGGTTTTCTGCCAAATACTTCCTCAAAGTCGTCTGTGGTTCTTTTCAGTGCGAAGTTCGCACACCCTGGGGATTATACAGCACCAAAAAGGTGGACTTTCATTCTGAACTTGACTGGCTAATTCTCCATGGTTCCATTGTCCTACCACAGGAATCTTAGAAAGTTTCGGTAATCAGGATGGACATACACCTGGTGGAACATTCCTTCTACATCCCAGGTGAAGGCAACAGTCTCCTTGCGAAAACGACAGAGGAATCCAGTTAAATTGTTGGTCAAGTCGAGACGCTGCAAGAGATGCTTGTTTAGGGATTCTCCATTGAACTCTGCACTGGCATCGAAACAACACGGATCTTATCTGGCTTTTGCGGATGGTATACTCCATGGTGTGGGATGTACCAAACACGACCGTTATCTAAATGGAGTTCGTTGTCAGGCACCTTCTCAGCCTGTCCCTTGTCGATCATATCTTTCATGAAGGTCTTGTAATGACTGTGGTATTTGCTATCACTCTTGAGTCTGTGTTTGAGTCTATGGACTCTGCTTGATGCCAAGTTTCGGATGTTTGGTGGCTTCAATCCTTCTTCCTTCAGTGGCAATAGAATTTCATAGTGATCGTTACTCAAGTGCTGGACATTTGACTCTAAAGTGTTCAAGAATCTTCGGTCAAGAAACGGGAGCGTTTTTTTTTCCTTAGAGACTTCGCTAAAATCAGGCTCAAACATTTTGTTAACTTGTGCCAGTAAGAACAATTCCTTAACTGAAACCTTTGCTACCACGTGACTCACAGTCTTCACGAGGCTGTCTTCAATTTCTCGCGACACTATGCAGTTGCAGGAGCAATGGCTGTTTTCCTGGCTGTCTATGATTGACTGGTGGATCACTCCAATAATGCCCCATCCTAACATTGTTCGCACCGCATACGGGTCGTCATCGGCGCCAGGAATCACCTCTCTTGGCTTTATTGCTTTGGTACAGTTTGCCCCAATCAGCAAATCCACATAAGCGTCATGTTGGTACGCCAATGGGTGTTCGTCAATACGTTTGGAATTTGGCCTCGTTTGGCTGGGATATCTTTCCTCGAATACGTCTTTGGGAGCGTAACCTCTTGATTTTCATTTACACCACGTACAACGAGGTCATTAACCTTTTGGCAGGCAACCAAATCCTCTCCTAACACTGTTGGCAGTTTCAGCTGAACCTGAGGTCCGGAAATAGCCAGCTTCTGAAGGATCTCTTCTGTTACAAAACACGCATCAGACTGGTTGTTGAGGAGGGCGTAAACTAATTCTTTCTTCTCAGGGTAGCCTCTTTGGTAAAGCCAGACAGGAACAATTAAAGAGTGGGAGTCGCAAAAGCCACCGTCCCCAGGCTTGTGAGTGTTTACGTGATGTGACGTGACGTCCATGGATGAGTTCTTTGGAGAGGTTCCTGGTTTTCCTTTGGGTTTCGGTACGTTTGTGTGTAAGGACGTTGGATGGAAACCTTTACAAGTCAAGCAGACCTTCTTCCCTCAGCAACCTTTCTTCATATGCCCTTACTTGAGACACCTCAAACAAAGACCATTGGACTTGACAAATTCTATTCTTTCCGTGTGCAACATTTTAAACTTGTTGCATTCATTCAGATTGTGGGTGTTCTTATATAAACGACATCGTTCAGGTTGTTTTCTTTCACCTTTGTTCACACTGGTCACCTCTTCTGAGCCAGTAGCAAGGCTGTTCGCTCCTAACGGCTCCTTCTTCCGGTCGCTGAATTTTACAAGTCTCTGTTGAGACGTCTCCACCTTCTTTACCTCTTCCTCAGCTCTTGTCATTGTGACCGGATTGCAGGCAATTCTAGCTTCACGTTTCAGGAAGTCACAGAAAGCCTAGAAAGGGGGGTTGGGAGACTCTCTGGCTGTTGGCTCTTGGAGTTCTTGTCCTTCCATGTTAAGCCAATGATCCACCTCGCAACCCCACCGATCGCAGATGTTTCATGGAAGTTTACTAATCATTTTCTGATATTCTTTTGGATCGTTCAATGCTGTCAGATAATGAATCTCTTTCATGGCTGTCTGACAGTTAACCAAAAAGTCTGAGAATTTTCGAAGACTTATACTGTCTATACGTATTTATACTTTAGGAAGAATCCGAGGCTAATCATTTATTTTATTCCTGTAGGCTTTGCAACGAGGAATGGAGTTCCGAATCTCTCGGACAATATTTTTCTAGCTCCGTGGTAGGCATTCTTGCTTTCCAAGGTAAGAAGGCCGCTTATTGCTTCCTTGGCTTTGCCAGCTGTATATCTTCCAAGGTAATAGAGGCACTGAGATGGACTGTCGGTTCTTTTTTCCACAATGGTGTCAAAGGATTTCCGCCATGAAGGATAATGTAAAAGATCTCCTTTGAAAGTTTCTGGTTCGGGTAGTGGCAACGACTCCTGCACATAATGTTGAGTCATCAGGTCAGCTAACCGTTTGAGGACGTCTCCAGTTGTTCGCTTCGGAGAACTTACACTTTGATCGAAGTTAAGTCCCATGCTATTTGGAGTTGATTGTTTGCATTGTATGATAGGCAAACTTGTGCACTCCGCGTTCTTAGGTGTTGACAAAGTGACGTATTCTTGCTCAAATGGATTCAATGTTATCACAGGAAACCCATGGTTATTAGAATCTTCGATTCTTGGTTCCAGTTGGTCGTTTTCGTGACTGTGTGATCGGGAAAGATGTACTTGGCAGAAGGGGATTTTTTGTTACCATTAGACCTGTCTGCACAGTTGAAGGGCTGTCTATAGCTACAGAAGAGGCTTGTGTTACAAGATGATTTTGTGCGAGATAATTTTGTAGGAGATCGCCTTTAGTGGTAAATCCAGGTACTGTGGCTCCGCCATTTCCATTATTTAAGCCTAGCTCACTCTCTTCTACCTTAGTGATGGCATTCATTTAAGCTTGCACTATAGCTAATTCTTTCGTAAGCTTAAACTTCTTTAATTCTGCAACCTTTGTTGCTTCACCTTCTGCAAAATTCAGTTCTGTCTTTATCTTGGTGAGTTTGACAGCAGTTTCCGTTTTCTGATTTATTATAGCTAATGATCGCAATATTTTGCTGCTCGAACGTGACTTCATACCATGAAGGAAAAATTTACTTTTGCGGCCTTAAGAAAGCTGTCACTGAAGAGAATAAGCTTTGGTTCTTGTTCTTGAGCTCTGTTATTTTCGAGTTAACTCATTTTAGTGCATCTGAGTGCTTGCGTTCCCACATCTCAAATTTATCTTGTGCAACGCGCTTTGCTTCTGAATCTTCCATTGCGTCTAGAAATCGTTCCTGTGCAGAGACTAAGATGTCCATTGTAGATACCAGAAAATTTCTCTCGCTTTGCACTTTGCTTGGATCAGTTGAGTCAGCAACACAGTTTTCGATATTATTTATCTGTCTGCACCAGCCACTCTAAGCGGAAGACCGTTGATCTTTGAATTGCCTCTGGAATTCCCTGCCTTTTGCTGCCTGATTGCGAGTTCTTTTCTTAGAGGATCCACTAATGCTCTGGAAATCATAGCCAGTGGCTATTTTACCTAGATCGGTGCAATCAATACTTTTTTATTGTCTCATGCGTGTACTGACAAAGAGTTTTTACTGTAGTGGGGGTGGAGGCAAGTCGATCGATACAAACACAGATTCACTCTCAGACCACGCGAGGATGAGGGCTTTTACTACAATTTCAAGCAAAGGCCAGTCTACTCTTTTATAATTCTTTAATGATGTGGCTTGGAATCATGTAAAAACTGAAATAACAATACAGCGAAACATCCATAACTAACAAAAATTTATCTGGACATGAAATGTGGGGGCGCAACCCAAAATAAAATGTACAGTTAGTGACTCAAAAGGTCTAAGGATAATCAGAAGCATAATTCGGAGTACAATCAAACGACATGACGTGTGTAAATAAAGGATAGCGAAAACATACCTCTTTTTCCTATCTGAACTCTTTAAAACTCTAAGATAAACGTATCTTTCTTTCTTCCAAATAACTTGTCTCTCCCAAGTATACAATTGTGTAAGATAACATCTGTGTTAATAACTGTGTTACATAACTACGATGTAAATGTTACGCAACGAAAAGTAACGTGATTATAGCAAATCACTTACATGTTCCCATTGTTTTAATAACACGTAACAAAATCTCCATTACTAAATTCTTCAACTATCACACAGCCACACATCTCTCATCTTGCCAAGAAAATCCCTTCTCATTATTAAAGGTATCACCGGATCCTGTCAACGTTTCTTTCTCCACTTTATCTTTGAATTGGCCAGCAAGATTCCTAGCCAAATAATGCATCAATATTATCTAAAGTATTTTTTGAGTATTTCTTGAGAACCAACGTCACCCCTCTAAATCCTACTATGTGACTAGTGGCTTTTAATGACTCTCTAAATCCACCAGATGCAAATGATTGGTCAGGTATCCTAAATTCTGCAACCACAGGTTTGGTGGACCATTCCATATGCTCCGTGTCAAATTTACAAAAATCAGTAAGGGTAGTTGTCCTCATGGAAATAACATTCCTCAGCTTCAACTTTTCAATGACTGAGAGGCTTTTGTGGTAAACTCTACTGACTTGTGACCAGCACTGCTTCTTGGGGCTTGGAAGTGAAACAGTTGATGAGACCTTCTCTCCTGTGTCATATCCTGCTCTCTTGGGCTTTAATAGTAAAAGATAAGTATTAAAACAGGCCTCGAAAGGCTCCAAGTGTATAGCATACAACATACTGAAGATCGTTCTAAAAGACATCGAGAAGCTTAGATCACTATTTTCAGAGCTGTCATTAACATAATTCGGTCCTGGAGTTTGGATCGAAAAAATGCATTTTGACACTAGTCAAGCCATCTTGACTAGTGAAGCAGAAAGCACAATTGTGACTTTACAGTCTCGTGCTAATTAAAGAAGAGCTCTCAGTGATGTAGATGAAAGCCTGTGTACTTGATACTCAAAGTTGCATCAATGCATCCATGAGGTAATACACGAGTATCAGAGAAAAAGATGTGTATTTATGTCAGAAAGATTGTACTGTATACAACAATAAGTCAAACAATGTAGTAGACGGTTAACAGAAGCTAATGTTATAGGCAGTAGAAAGCCCCACACTCTCATACCTAACAGCGAGCTCATTTACGGGCGATGGAAAAGCCGGAATCCGGAACTGGAGCCAGAACCGGAACCGGAACCGGAACTTAAATTGAGACCAGGGTAAACTGGGAAGCACTGAAACCAGTTCCTGATACCCGTGTGAGAATAAAATTGAAGATGGCGTCCTCTGTTTTGAGAAATTTTCAGCACAGTGATCGTGATACCAAAGGTATACTCACATTCGGAAAGTGACTTGCAAAAAAAAAGGTAAGTGCATCCTACTGTTATTCCTAGCAGTCATAAACTGTGACTGCAGCTGTGACTACAACTAATCAGAAGCCGATTGACTGCGAAAAACAGCCATTATTAGTATGTGATGTTTAAGACCGCTGTGTTATTCATTTCCTTCTCTTGAGCCTAAGTTACTCATTTCTTAAAAGGGCTCCGTGTTACATCCATTGTGAGGAAAAGGCAGCAAAGGGAGGAGGAGTACTCATGTCAATCATGATCCCAAGTTGTAACACTCACGCGTATATAAAATTCGCGAAGAAAAATTTTGCGCCGTACGCAACAAATGCGACAGTAAAAAATATAATAACAATAAATAAATATAATGTGGGGATGAAATGTCTTGATCGAGCAATAATTGTTAGTGACACTCTTAAGACAGAAACGTCTCCAAGTTTTCATTCTTAGGTTCGGGTTCGGGTTCGGGTTCCGTTTCCGTTTCCGGCTCCGGTTCCGGATTCCGGATTCCGGCTTCTGGCTTTTCCATATGTCCCTCGTTTACAAAAAAGTTTCCAACCGAACTACCTTTACTTCCATTGAGGAACAACGTATATGTTTGCCTTTCCGGGGGTGGGTAGAAAACGAAGACCTAAGACCTAAGACCCAAAAACGAAGTCCCCCCTCAAAATCACTTATAAATGTCCAGAAATGGTTATCTCGACCTTAGATATGTAAGAAACAACAATATCTTCAGTTATACAAAATTTCGACCAGGGTCTTCGTTTTCTACACAATCCCCCCGGTGTGTAGAAAACGAAGACCCCCTTCAAAATCACTTGGAAACGGCTGGAAACTGCTTTTAACGACTTCTAGACGCTAAAGGAGTGTAAGAGACAATATGGCTCTTGACGATTTTCGATTATACAAAATTTTGACGAGGGTCCTTGTCTGAGTTTTCTGAGGAATCATGCTTTCATTAGGGATTAAAGTCTTGAAAGTGGGTGAAATACATAAAAAATAATAATTAAGCGTTTTTACTTATTAACTGAGATTGTCCGACAAAGATCGAAAATTTTAACCGACTACCAACAAAGTAACTGAATTTTCACCGACAACTGACAATTGGACCCCCCTATTCAGACCCTCAGATATGGATTTTGGTTTTCTTTTGACATTAAAAAACCACGTCACTCGGGAGATCTTAATGTTGTCATGGGTTTAATGCCCAGCCTTGTTTCTATAAGCGTCAACATTTTTATCTGAAAATACGAGTCTTCAAGTCTCTGCTCACAGTCACGTCTTTATTACTGACGATAGAAACCTCAAGCAACCACAACAACAGCGTCAACAAGAACGTTTACTCAACAAAACATGAACCGAAACAATGTTTATAACAATCTCTCATTATTTTATCTACAGTGAAACCTTGATTTATAGCCAAATTAAATAAGGTAGCCAGTCTCTCAATTTCTAGAAAGGGAACTGGATTAAGACAACAAGATTCAAGTATCTGGTTTCCCAAAAAAAACCAATACGAGAAGGTTTTATCAGGAATCTTCTTAGCAAGACTAGGAACTAAGTTGGTAAAATATTCACCAAATTTGTGAGCACTGATACCAGGGTCCTTGGTTTCTTCTTGACCATCTTTAAAACGTTGAGGGATTGGTGATTTAATTTTACGCCTTGTGATAATAGTGTTCAAAAGCTTCCAGACAGCTTTCAGATTGTTCGTGGCTGATTCAATTTCACAATCATAATTGTTTAGATATTTTTAAAAGGTGGTTAAGTTTATTTCTTTATTGTTTATATTGAACATGATTCAGTGAGGATGGATTGCGTAAGAAAGCCTTGTACAATTTACTTTTGGTCTTGATAGATTTAAGCAAACCTTGAGTTATCCAGGGCTTAGGTAACAGTTTAGACTTCTTCCTTTTTGACATTAAGGAGAAAGGAAAACATAAATCATAAATTAAGTCATTGCAGGCTTCATTGGGATCATGATGCTAATATAAATTACCCCAATTAAAGTTTTCAAGTTCATCCTGAGATTTATTCACATTCTGAGTGTTAGTAACACGTCTAATTACCCTAGTTCCTGGACTTACTGATTTAGCCTGTGATAACAAAGTAAATATAGGTAAATGATCAGAGATGTCAGCAAAGAATATACCATTTATGGCAGCATGAGGAAGGTGATTGGTAAAAATGTTGTCAATGAGAGTGGCAGTATGAGATGTAATTCGTGTCGGTTGTGGAATAAGTGGAAGGAAACTATGGGAAAACATACAGTATAAAAACTCACTAGTCGAGAAATGTTGTTGGTATGATATTTTTAAAAGATCAAAATTGAAGTGTCCTAGGAGGTAACATGATTTACGCTCCTTAGAAATTTTAGCTAACAGTTCACTCATCTTGGAGATAGTTTTAACAGGATCTGTTCCTGCTGGCCCATAGATAACTCCAACAATAATATTCCCTTGATGGGGCTGTTCAATTTCTAGAAATACAGATTCTAAAATTTCAGGATCAAAAAAACTTAAGAGTGAATGTTTGTAAAAATCAAACAAAAGCGCAAAAATCGTGGCCACAGTCAAAAATCGATTTCCGTCATTTTTTGAGTACAGTAAACCTATGGTGTGCAATGAAATCAAACGAGGTTAGTTTTGTGAAATATTATTTTAAAGGGTTGGAAACAATCAAAACAGTTCTCGACCTAAAAAGTTCAAATTTCACGGTTACAAACACGAAAATTATGCGATTTTCGAAAAAGCCTTATTCGGACAAAAAGCAAAATGCAGGCCTGTGCACCTAGAGATATGTAACCCTATTTGGGTAAAGCAGGCTTAATGAAAATTGCGTGGAGCCGTTTTTTATCGCAACGCATTTGGAAATGTTGGAATGCATTGGCGAACATTCTTAATGCGTTTGAAAGTGTTGGCAATGTTCTCCAACGGAACTAAGAAACGTTCAGTATCGTTTCAAAATCCTTTCAAAACATTTGGAAAACGTTTTCAAACATTGAAAATGCATTAAATGGAACATCATTAATTCGTTGCAACGGGAAGCATTCACCAAACATTCTAACATTGTCAACGACTGAGTTACAAAAACTCCGAACTGTCAGGCATCTCCTCGTTCCCTCATTCGACAATTTAGATCCACGGTCATAAATAAAGTGATAAAACGTTTAAAACTTCACAGTGTGAGAAATGTTCGATCCGAGGAATCAATAATTTGTTCCATTTTCAGTTTGCAAGTCTGTGTTATTAAAGAGGGCAAAAAAGAGGGGAATTAAATTTGAAAGCACCTGTTGTCGAAAGTGTTATAAGTCTGAATTTATTTTATGCTGTTCTTTCAGTGTTACGGCAGTGTGCGTGCTCGTGACTACCTTGTTTGATAGCTCCCTATAAAATTAACAGGTATCAGATGCTTGATATGGGTCGCTGAATTTAAATACTAAAATATACCAAATTTCTACCGGGGCAGTTGTACTATTTACCGACTTTTCTTTCTTTCCGTGTTTCCCGTTTTTTTATGCTCGGGGATTCAACAAATTCAACCAGTTCAGTCTCGGAACGCCCTGGCAAACGCTAGAGATTGTAGCCTGTAAAAGCGAAAAGCTGAAAACGTGACATTCACAAAAAATTCATGGTTTTTATCTGTACCAGTCAGCTGTCACAAAGATGTCAAAATTTATAATCACGAATATTTTCAGATCAAAGCTTGTTGCGTGACACTACCGTCATCACGGCAAATTTAATCCAATCAGAAGCCAGCTGGAAACTGTCCTCGACTTCTGATTGGTTAATGTTTGCATGGAAGAATGTGAATTAATTAAAAGCGGTCACACTTTTGGGCTCCTTGCTGTAAAACTTTTTTCGCCTTTCGAGTCGGCCGGAAGCATAGCCCAATGTGCTTTATGTGCTTTATACATTGTTGTAATCTCGAGTTCAGTGTTTTTGTCACAACAAAATGCAATGAATTGCTTGAATAATCTTTGACAAAGCATTTAATAGGTAATGCTTTAAAAGAAGATTTATTTCAGAATGGTATTTATCTAGCTATAAACTAAGGTGACCCAAACATGTCGCACGCTGCTAATAATTTTGTTGTTGTTCAATCTTTCACTGATAACGTTTTCCTTGAGAAATTAGCTCGATGTCCTGAAAAATTAGATTAGATTAGGGTTAAGCACTCATTTTAGGGCTAGGGGTTAAGAGCTGTTTTAGGGTTAAACACTTATTTACAACAGTTAATGTTTTCCATATTACTGTTTTCGATTTTTATGGTGGTTTTTTTTTCAATGATTCTTCAATGGACTGTATGGCTCGCATGACTCGCTGGCT